CTACTATCCTTAAAAAATTTTAGTTTTCTTTTGATGAACAGCGAGAAATTGATTCAAACACCGTAGTAAGTAAAGTTTATTTAAAAAAATTTAAAAACTGTTAATAATGAAGGTGAGGTAGACTGTACACAACTAAATATCCTTATTGGGTCAGATTGTTATTAAAAAACCGTTGAGGATAGTTCAGAGAATAGAAACGTAGAGGCATAGCGCAAGATATCAAACACATTGGATAAAGTATACTGCAGTCTACCTGCTGCCCACTGCTCCCCTTAATATTTTTAATTAGAAACAACAAGCCCAATCAAAATCTTTCAAAAAACGTCGGGAAAACTCGAATAATTGAAGCAGTAGGTATAACAAATTTTCTAGTGGAAAAGAATAATGATTTAACTTTAAAACAGTCTGATTTAAGGCATACCACAGAAGGAGGATAGTATCATGCAAGTTGGCCTTCCAAAACTGGCCTGTTGATTTAGAAGATGATTATTAACTATGCTGTTTGAATTCAGTTATTAAAAGAATAGAATAAAAATTAAAAAACTCTTCTTAAATATGAAATATTCCTCAAGGAACAGTCAAGTAAAGGCATTAATGAAGAGTTACCAAATGGTGGAGGACCACTGCCAATTTATCACTTTCCTCATCACCTTGTAAAAACCCCATAGAAGGAAACAGATAGAATGGCAGCTGCGCATCTTAATAGATCCCTCATCAATAGTGTATGCTGTTGTAGCACACATAAAAGTTAAAACTTTTACACGAATACAAATTACTGTGGAATCATTAATGCTAAAGCAAACTCCTATCTTACATTTACCAAAAGCAGACTTTGTTTCACAAAAAGAATAAGTGCACCTTGCTCAAAACTTATGGCATTGTCGATGAAAACACGAACAATTGAATTTTTGTTTTGAAAGATATGAATCTCTTTTGAAGAGAGTATAATTTGAAGCAATCGTAATGCGCTCTTTCATAGATTTTCTTCAAGAAGCTATTACTAGTTTCTATTGAAAACTGAGATTAAAAAATCAGACCTTACAAAAATTCGTTCTTTAGTTATATTGTAACTGCGCTAAGCGCAGCAGATATTGCTACCAGAGAAGTGACCTTACATGACTTGGGGGATAGCAAGCTGTGGTGGAGAGATTCTAGATGATAATTTTCAAATAAGCGTGAGTGACAAGGAAATTAGGTGTAACAAACTGATACAAACCCTGAATTTAGAGATCTGACACAAGAGCGGTAACGCTGGTCAAGAATTGTTGAAGAAGAACTACAGTAAAACGTATTCTACTTCAAAAAGAAGTTATATAAAATTTAAGTTGGGAGCGGTGGTTAATTTTAAATCTTTGACAATTAATTATGAGAAGCATAACTATTGTTCTAAGATCAACAGGTTTTTACAGCCAACTATAAAAATAAAAATAATTTCGATAAAAAATGATATAGAAGACAAAACTTATTTTTTTCACCTAGAAAAAGGATAAATTACCTGAGAATTTTTAAAAATCAGTAGAATTGCTACATTATTGTCAAAAGTTTGATTTGAGGAGTATCTACTAATTCTTTGAGAGGATCAGAAAATGACATATGAGTCACCTACGACAGTGACAAATCAAACAGCTTAAGTACTGAACCTTGGTAACGTTACCGGATGTAGTAGAAAACTAGGAAGAGAGATATGCTTAAACATTAGTAATGATAAATTAATTAAATCTTTAGAATGAGGCATGTCTGTCTAACAGAAAATGATTCACTAAATGGTTCAGAAAATGATTTACTAGACCTACCAACTGACTCTATCCACTTGAAATAGTCTACTTATAATTTTTGAAAGTTACCACACGTAAGCGGCTTATCTCGGACAAAACATTTGAATATTCTGAATCGTTCTACTGCTAATTACCAGCTTCAATACAGAGAGATCTTTCTTCAATAGAAGTTATCATACCTCTACAGTCACGAAAGCGAAAAAAGGTATTATTATTCTAAGCAAGGTTCAAAAAATTTATATCTGTAACGAGAATTCTTTTTTGAGTTGAAGAAAAGAGCTGATATTGCCTTATTAAGTGATCTTACAAAGTTTATCAATTTTTAATCTTTACAGGCTGCAGAAATGTTGATGATTTCGCTCAATTAAAATTTATATCACATTATTAGATTATAAAATTACCTTCAAAAATTTGCAATTTTAATAAAGATAATTAAATTGTCTCTAAAAACTATATCAAGACAATTTAAAAGTGTATAAATTGAGAAGTAACAATATAAAGTTAAAATTCAAATTATTGGAAGAAAGCAATCACACCTAATTAATTTCTGAAAACCTAAAATTCTCGAATTTTTCTTGCCACTTTCGATCTCGTTCAAATTACTTGTTTATATGTCTTTTATTATAAAAGATTATCACCACTGTTTTTTCAATAAAACCTCCTAAATTCTTTTTCATACTTTTTGTTCTCTGCTTCGTTCTTTACCCAAACTTTGTTTTGTTTGAAACGTTTTTTCTGTATTAAATTTTAAATTTTACTCAACTATAGTAGCTTAGTTGACATACAGTTTGGAGAGTTTGAATTTCATTGTTTGTGCAGCGATTTTATCCTAATTTTGATTTGTAACAAGCAGACTTCTTTTTAGAGTTTGCAGTCAAAATTCTATCAATTTCAGTTTCACCATTTATTAGTTTTTCAACAGTTTTCTCCCGCTTTTTTTTCTAACTGTTGGTTTCCTATGCAATAAAATAAGAGTTGAAATCGATGCAAGAGATTCCAAGTTAGTGGTTTTCCTTGGTGATTTAGAGTAGAAGCCTTGAGTTTGCAGAATAGAACCTAAGTTGACGGTTTCTTTGTGCCAAGTTAACATAAATGGACTCTGTTAAATTCATTTGTAAAGGTAGCCGCTTAAATTCCAAAACAAACGGTTAACAACAATAGTGCATAATAGGCGAACACCTAACAAAAATTTACTGCTACTAAATTACTGTTTTAAAGACAGAAGTTCTGCTGTACGTTAAAACAAAGCCTAAAAGAAACTTGGAATTTGGATATATAAAATAGAATAAACAGCCTTGAAAGGAGAAAGACTAGATCAAAAGACATCAACAAAACTTTTTGTCTTACAAACGTCTAGAGAAACAGTAATATATCTCTCAAATTACTATTAGTAAAGAAATTCAAATCCCTTTCTCGTGTATTTTAATTTTGACTTCTCAGTAACTTAATTTCATGATTGGTTGTAATAAGCGATTTGAAAAAAAGTCACTGAAAGGAACAGTAGTGAAACAAACGAGTATCTAGTCAAAATTTTCTTATTTTCTAATGCACTTTCTGTTTCAACGCCATATGCAGTCACCATTCCCTATCCAACTTTTTGTTCTTATTTTGTGTCGATTTTTAGATCATTTTAGTGGTTTATCTGTCGGTTTCGATAACTCTTTGATCGCATGTGTGCAACAGTAAAGATTGAGAACAGGCAGTTAACACACATTTTAACCAAAAGCATCTTCGATACCATTCGTGCTCAATAACAGCTTTTAAATGAATTGTTCTGCTTTCGTTAGATGTCGGCAGCCACAGCAGTCTTTTTTACACATATGCACAGAAATATTTGTTTTTTAAACATTTTTGAAGTTTAACAAACATAGGCTTCTTGGTACTAAAATGCTCAGTAGCTGAGCTAGTAAGATTACAAGAATAAAACTGTTGCTTTAAGATACTTGTTGAATAGAGTTTTTAAGAAATTCTTTCACTATAATCTCACGCTCAAACAACGACGAAATTTAACCTGAAACGTAGAACTAGTAACGAAACAGCTGGTTCCGGCTGAGTTGTTTAAGCCTGCTTTAGCTATCTTGTTTAGTTTTTTCTATTGTTTTAAAAAATAAAAGAGTGTATAAAAAATAAAGTTTTGGATTGTTAAAATCAGTGCACTTTTGTCTGATGAAGTGGGCGGCAACTATAAGTTACCGAGAAAGAGAATTGATTTGAAGCGACTTAAAATGTGAAAGAAAGCTTAGCATAAGAAAACTTAAAAATGTATTAACTTCTAAATGTTAAATGAAATAGGAATTATTTGGTCACCGGAAAGATTAGCTGGTAAATCTGAGAGCGATAAAAAGCGCTTTATTTATTAGTTTTCAGTGCATTCTTTCTTTGCAGAAAATAACCACACATTATGTTCCTAGTTTTCAGCTTACTGCTTTATCCTTACTACAATTGCAGAAATCTGCATAAAAAAAAGAAACTTTAGAATATTCAAAAGCTCTTAGCTAGATGTTCATCGTCCAAGCATAACAACGACAAGTTAAAAAAATTCTGCCAAGTTTCACTTAAACAAAAAAGAATTTTTTCTTTAAATAATTGATGTACCGTATTACCTACAAAAATAGTTTGACACGTTGTATGAAAAAGTTAAGACAGCTGGCGAATTCCTGTCTTACAGCTTCTTCAACTGCACTACTCACGTAGCATTTCTTTCAACTTTTTTACTTGTAGTATTTCAGCTAAAAACAAAAAAAAAATGCTTATTTGTAAAGATTAGTTACGTATGCTGGAAATAAGTGAAATAAAACAAATTTTCAAATCACTTCTACAATTTACAAATGAAAAAAATTGAATTGATACGTCAGTGATTGAACTAATAACTACTAATAATTTAGTTAAACTAAAGTAAAAGTATCACTGAAAGTGGATAACACTAAAAAGTTTTCATTTAAGACAACAACTTTTTTATGAGATGGCAGCAGTCACTGACTGATTGTGGTCCCTTTCTATTTTGTTAACGTATTGGCGCAGCAAAATATCTGAACTAGTCGATCATACTAATTAAGTGGTGATATGCAGGCAGTGCTGTCTAATGTCTATCACTTCCCCCAAATAAATTATTATTTGTTAAGATCATCTGAAGTTGTAATTTTCAGAAAAGAAACTATGCAAAAGAGAAATATATATTTTTTAAGGAAAAGTATTGCTCTTTTACGAAAATGGCCGTAGTATATGATAGTTGGTCATTTATTTTGTTACGAAACTGATTGCTGTACGGCAACAGTGATATAAAACTGTTAATTAAAGGTTGAAAAAAAAAAAACGTAATGGCTATCAAAAAAGAATTGTCGCGACCGCTCGGAAAAGGCACCGTTGTAAAAGTTTGAGGTCACTGTAGCTTTCTGTGGAGAACCTTCCGCGGAGTTGTAGGCTGATCGTCTAAGCGGAGGAAAGCCAGCAGTAATCTTAAGATTAATCGTTATTTTTGAGTGTCAGTACTGACGTCAAAACAACCTTTGAGTGCTTCAAGCATCGGATTTTTTCAGCAATTTCTTACTTGCGCTGTTTAATTCTGTATTCTTTCTACATTTCAGTTTGTACTCATTTGGCAGCTTTGAGTCTTTGGGTCTTTCAAGAGGTCTTAGAGTTGCCATCATTTCAATGTGCATTACTATTATTCTGTAAGGTTTAGTAGTTGAGCATGATTCAGCGTTTCTAAGAATTGCTGATTGTAAATTTAAGGGTGATGTAAGAATAAAGGAGATAAAGCACAAGACGAGGTTTTATCATCAAACAGTTATCACCTTAGAAGTATTATGAGTAATTAGTTGGTTGTTAGGGTGTAGGAGATCAAAGACATAGAAGTCAGAGGTTTTTGGATAAAAGTTCAAGAAGCTATTGGTTGGCATTGTGATATGCGAGGGCTAATTACGTCCACAGTTGACGTATCGTTACGTAAAAAAGGCTCACGTAGGGAGTGTACAAAGATTACAGCAGTAGTAGTTCTTCAATGTAGGAAAACATCTGTTAGCCATGACGAAAAAAAAAAGGTCTTAAAGCTTTGAAACAGTCTTTAATAGTGTTTAATAAGTCTTAAGTATTGCTGTTAGTGTTATTACCATTATTATCGTTTAATTTTTTGGCATAAAAAAACGATGTTTTTTTATAAAACAGAATGTTGTGCTTCATTTATCTAAAAATAAATGCCATATACAACCGTGCATCTTTTTCTGTTACAATTATTTATTAATCGTAATTAAATGAGAAATAGTATTAATGTACAATCACAGACAATTTTTTTTACATATCCGTAACAGTAATTCGTTTTTTCACAGGTTTTGAGTAAGTATCAGCAATTTTTTTGCTGTTTGCCAATTCATATAAAGCATTATCGTACCCGCAATCATCACAGCTTTTACTCTCCGATGTTCCGTTTAACGGTCTAAAGGTTGGTCCAGCAAAAAATACTTCAACAGATTCACTGGTTTCCTGATTATCGTTTGCAGTGACCATACTATAGACTGGCTGCAAAAGTACAGTGATCAGCCAGTAAAAACTGCTTCAATAAAACTGTTCATTTCACAATATAATAACAACCCATTGCTACTGCTAATTTTGACTATTTATTTTTTTTACAGTTTTCAACAAAAAAATGTTCTGATTGCATAAGTGATCAAAAGTTTTGCACAGTGTAATACCTAATAAAATACACTGCTTTAGACCAGAAATACTGTTTAAAATGTCAATACACCGATAAGCATCACAGCAGACTTTCATATAAGACTGCTAAGTGATAATGAGAATGAAAAAAGCAGAAAGCTTAAAAGTATTTTTAGTAACTTTTTTCCTACGGTTCATAATGAATAAATAAAACAATTGCAGAGGTTGCAAACATCTGTACAAAGCTTTCTTAAAACTTACAGTTTGTGCTGCTGTTTGTGCTTCAGTTGCGGCTATTATAGCTTTTATAGAACGTTCGTTATTTTGACTTTTGTCAACCACAACTCTTTTACCTTCAGAATTCCATCCAATATGAACCACATGCCTAAAAACTGGTCATTCAATAGACAGTCTCTCTTCTACTCTTTTTTTTTGTTATTTTTTAAGCTGTCAAATGCGACACTTTTTTTGGTTATTATTAATTTCTGGCAAAATTTGGGAAGTCGTTCAACAGCACACCGACAACAAAAAAAAAAGTAATAAAAAAATCTTACTCAAAATTACTCGGTCGCCCAATTATGCTTTTCTTCTCTTTCCTTGGCAATTTTTTATGTCCATTTTCTTGTGTTCTCACTGTTTTTTCTGAATCAACTTTTGAATTCGATTGAATTGGAGGCGCTGGTAATGCTAAAAGGTATTAACCACTATTTATTTTAGAATTATATCAAAAATAATTTCGTAATTTTTTGCAGTTTCTCATCCAGCCTTTTTTTTGTTTTTGTTGATCAATGAAATTAAAGAAAATGGAGATGAAATTCTACGAAGCATTTGTAAAACTGACAAAATTGTAACTGTGTAAATAAAAAGTAGTCATACTGCTAGAAAGAATGGGAAATGGGTGCGAGGTGGCAGGTTTTGAATATGTGCTTCTTGATGGTAGCTTATTCTGATGAATCAAATCTAGTTTCAAGCTTAACCGGTGACTTTCAACCGCAGAAGCCAATTCTGTGAGTCCAAACAGTCGGGCTTCATGCTCAATTAATCGCAAAATGTATTGTTCATCTGGCAACGGGTACTCTAAGCCATCTCTCAAATAACCAAGAATGACCGCAAATACATCGCTATTTCTATCAATGAAAAGATGACCGTTCTAAAAGAATAAAAATAAACACACAAAAAAAAAACTGGTGTAAAAGTTGTTGAAATTTTATAAAACTGAAGAAAAATTACGGCTTTGTTAAGCTGCCTTTCAACTGTTACGATTAGCTGTTAGATTGTTAGCAAAAAAGTTATAAATAATAAAACAGAATTTGTAGTATAAGATAAAACAATAATTAATAAAATTAATAAAAGTAAAAATAAGAAAATTTCTTTTGTTTTTAAAATTAATATAATACCTTATCCAACAATTTACTCCAATCACCACGAAAAAGGTTGCAAAAGTAGGAGTTTTTCACAGAGGTTAACGTCGAAATCTTAGTTTGTACAATGCGACCTTCGATATTTAAAATTACATAATCACTTTCCATGACATTACTTTCATAAACTTCCACCGTTTTATTTGGCCGAAAATTGTAACTGAGTAAAGAAGTAATCCTAATGTTAAATTTTAAATGCTCATTTATATTTCAGGAAAAAAAACAGAATTGAGATGAAAAGGAAAGGAAGTGAAAGAGCAGAAAAAGAAGGAAGAGATGTGAACAACAACAACGGCAAAAAAAAAAAAAAAAAGAGATCATTTAGGTAAAACGAATGCTGTAAATGCAAAAAAGTTGGAAGATAAAAGTAATGATAATCATAATAACAGACGTATACTATAAAAGTAAATCAGAAGTTGTTGTAAATTTTGATCAAATAAGATTCTTGTTAGCATTTAGTGTATAAGTCAGTCTCACTTGTTGCTGTTGTTGTTTATCATCTGACAGTTTATTTGTGAAATATAAAAAAAAAACCAGAATTTGAAATCGATATTTGGCCGATTAGTAAAGAGCAAAAAATTTAAAGAATACAACGAGAATCTTAAGAAAAATATATCAAACTATCTTTTTTTTTTCTTTAGTAAATAAAATTGGAATAAATTAAATACGAAAAAAAAACAGTACGGTACACAGTTGTTGATAAAACATTATTAGTAATTATCAAAAATTGAGGTATAAGTAAGCAAAAAAAAGTTTTAAAAAAAATGAATACGAAACTACAACAACCCAAACAAGCAAAAAAATTTATAACTGTTATATATGTGTTGATTAGTTTTTAAATAACCAAAAGTAAAAAAAAAAAACAACAACAAACATCTATTAGCAGTAATCTGTTACAGGTGATCAATAATCATTCAAACAAGAAATAATATACTAAATCAGTAAAATAGTCATCAAAAATCATTTAGAAATTAAACCAATAATTTGATGTAAAAAACTGCTTAAGAAAGAGAAAAAAAAATTTTTTTTGTTGCTTTCTATTCATCTACTGAATCATCGTCATCAGTCGTTTTTGCTAAACTGTCAAAACTGTAGCAAACTAAATTCTCTAAAATGGACGGGAAAGAATACAGGAAAAGAAAAATATCCGTTTTACAGCAGTGACTAAACGACGACAACGACGTCAACAAAAACATCAGAAACTGCAACAAAAATAAACTGTTATTCTATCATTCATCTTTAGCAATTTAATCAATTGCATCTGTAAATGAGAATTAACTTTTTTTTTT